CCCACAACCTCCTCACCTGCTGCTTTGTGTTCTTTCCCTGACAGATGCCTCGGCCACGACTACTGCTCCCTTTCCACCAACACCTACTCCAGGTCTGTCTGCTTTTTTCATCTTGAGATTCCTTAATTTTTACTTGTATTTGTTACTAGTCGATAGGTTAGATTTTTTTGATTTGCAATGTGCAATTTTTGGTTAAAGTCTTTATTGTTTCCAACTTTACGTCTTTCATATATCTCCTCTTTCTGTCTGATTCTTTCAGTGGGGATGCATTTCCGATTATGCTGATTTTCTTGGAAATCTTTTTTTGGTTTTTCCCTAAATTTTATTTTTTTCTGTGCAGCACTCATTTCCTTCTATTAGTTTTTTTTTCCTTAATCCTACCAAATGCAAAATAGTAAGGGACAGTCAGAGTTCTCTGAAGAGTTTATCACACTTGTAGCCTGAGTGTGACGAGCACAGCAATTCAGTTTCTTTTGGCATTTTACCCCCTGTTGCTCTGGCTTAGATTGATACAATGTCTTTTCATTTGATGAGAAGTAAATCTAAATGAATCACATCTATAATTTATTTTCTCTCTTTTTTTTTTTCAGCTAGAATATATAGTTGTGGTGGCTTTTTTTTTAATTCCTCTGGAACACTTCAGAGTCCTTCTTATCCTTTGAATTATCCAGATAATGCAGATTGTTTGTGGCAAATACAAGTAATGAATAATTTCCGCATTATGCTCACATTTGGAAATATTCAGTAAGTAAACCACTTCCTCCTTGGGCAATAAATGGGTCCCAAATCTCTTCTATAACCACGATTCCCAAGCACATTTTCCATGCTTATAAGTGAATTATAAATATTACACAGGAATTGTGTGCGTGCAGGATCTTAGTTTATTGTTTGTTAGAAGTTTACCAAATGCATTTTACTATATATTCACATTTCTTCCTCAGGTTGCAAGGCGGATGCCAGAATGACTATATTGAGATCTATGATGGGCCACCCAATACTTCTCCTCTGCTTGGAAGAATTTGTTCTGGTTCTTATCTCACATACACCTCATCCTCAAACTTTATGACTGTCAGATTTCACAGTGACTACAGATATTCCAATAGAGGGTTTCATGCTGATTATCAGTCCTTTCCAGCAGACCAGAACACCAGTAAGTTTCCATTCTGTTTGTAGTGTTTTCCTTGCTCAGAAAATTTTATACGTTGACTTCATTTGTTAAATAAATATTTGTTAATGTTTTTTAAGAAGCCCCACATACATGACATTCTTACCTGAATTCCATAACTGGTTATTGACCAACTGCTTTCAGACAATAATTAATCTTTCATTTAAAAAAAAATTTTCAAGCATCTAATTAATTGCCTTTATCTGTTTTCTGTGATGGCCACTCTATATTTCTTCTAATCAGATCACTGTTCATTTATGTTGTTTCTACATTTGTGGACAGATTTTCACAACATTGTAGAGATGTTGGTTAGAAAGGACCTTTAGAGTCTTCCTAGTCCAACTATTCAAAGCAGAGCTATTGCCAACACCAGGTCAGGTCTCTTACGAATTTGTCTAGCTGCGTTTCTAGAAACATTTTAGCCTGAAGAAGAGAAGACTGAGAAGAGATCTCATCAACATGTACAAATACCTCAAGGGTGGATGTCACAAGGACAGAGCCAGACTCTTCTCGGCGGTGCCCGGCGACAGGACAAGGGGCAATGGGCACAAACTGAAATATGAGGGTTCAGTTGAATATGAGGAAGAACTTCTTTACTTTGAGGGTGACAGAGCACTGGAACAGGCTGCCCAGGGGGGTTGTGGAGTCTCCTTCTCTGGAGATATTCAAAGCCCGCCTGGACGATGGCCTGTGCACCCTGCTCTGGGTGAGCCTGCTTGAGCAGGGGGGTTGGACTGGGTGAGCTCCTGAGGTTCCTTCCAACCCTTGACATTCTGTGATTCAAAGGATGAAATTTTAAAAGCCACAACTTCTCCAGGTGACTTATTGCAGTAGTGTCCTGCAGTCCCAGTGGGAAAGTTTATCATCTAATGTGCACTCACAACCTCCCCAGGCACAAACAATGGCCAACACATTTGGCTCTGTTGTCTTTGTAACTTCCTTTCAAGAGACTGCGTATTGCCAGTATGTCTGTATCATCAGATATCTCTCTCTACCAAAGGCCAAACTCACCCTGGAATGATTGCTTTTTGTGTCATGGACTCAGTGAACTGTCATGGAGATGGTTTCAGGATCCCCTCCCCCCCAAGTAGTGTTCCTGTAAGCCAAGTGTGCACGTTTAGCTCTTACACATTTCACAATAGATTTTGGATTTTTAGGAAAAAATCCTACTTCTTAGCATTTTTGTGTGAGTGGTGATACAGGCTCAAGGTCTCAGCAAAAGCCTACTGTAAGCTACATATTTTTGTCAGGAGCGTAACTGAAGGTCAGCTGAAGTTTGTCAGAGACTATTCTTTTTCTTATTTAAGACTAAGGTGTAAAAATAAGTGGTTTGGCTTATGAATTCTCTCCCCTAAAGGGTAGCATCTATTGCATTTGTTGAAGTGGTAACATGCAAGCATTGTGAAGTACTTGAAATCACTAATAATTCATATTCTCTTCCCTAGCCCTTGTGTGTTTGCCAACCTACATGCATGCAGTTGTAGACAGACGCTATCTCCAGTCAAAGGGCTACTCGGTGTGGAACATCAACTTGTCTGACTCTTACTGTAGACCAACAATTACATCAACTGAGGTTATATTCAACATTCCATACAACAGCTGTGGTACACGTAGACAGGTTGGTGTCAACATATTTTGGAGAGCTCTCCAAGTCTGAGCAGGGAAACTTAATAGACATTTGGAAAATTGTCATGAATCGCAAAGGGTGTTGTAGTCCACAGGTATTCAAAACACAGAAAAGAAGCATGTGCTTCTGGAGGCTAAGGTTTGTTAAACAGTCCTGCTTAACATTCCCGGCTTTAGGTAATCCCTGTATCTATTTCAGAGTGATGTTCTAGAGAACAAAGGTTAGGAGAGAGTTAAGTGGGTTGTCAGGCTCTGGAATGGGCTGCCCAGGGAGGTGGTAGAGTCCTCATCCCTGGAGGTATTTAAAAGAAGGACAGATGAGGTGCTTAGGGACGTGGTTTAGTGGTGGGATGGCAGGGTTAGGTTAAAGGTTGGACTCGATGATCTCAAAGGTCTTTTCCAACCAAAGTGATTCTATGATTCTAAGTGAACAATCCCATCCAGGATGCTTGGGACTTTTCAGTATGACCTGTTCTTTCTGGCTATCACTAGGACCTGACACATACAGAATTTTATAGCACAGGTTATGAACGTGACTACATGTGATAATTTTGTACCCATCTGATGTGTCAACTAGGGCAACAATGAAACCATCACCTACTCCAATGTAATAAAAGTGCCTGCTACTGGTTACATCATCAAGAGGCAAAAGGACCTTCACTTGCACATCAACTGCAAAATGCTCCAGAACACCTGGGTGCAAGTAATGTACATTGCTGATGACATCATTGATGTCAATGAAATCCAGTATGGCAGATATGATGCAAACCTGACATTCTACAATTCCTCCTCTTTCCTGTGGCCAGTACATGACTTCCCATACTATGTTGACCTGAATCAGAACTTGTTCCTTCAAGCTTCTCTTCACAGCTCTGACCCAAACCTGGTGGTGTTTGTGGACACATGCGTAGTGTCACCTGATCCTAGCAATTTTAGGACACTGACCTATGGATTGATCAGAAATGGGTAAGAAATTTCTAAAGAATTACTTGAAACTTATCTCTATGCATAGTTCTGAGTGAGCTTCACTTATGGAAGAGGTGATTTAGGGCCAGTGTACTTTGGTTGCAATTCTCAGTACAAATATACTCTTAAGAAAGACTTTTTGGCAAAGCCTGAATAAAATATAATACGACAAAGAAATACCATTCAAGTTGTATTCAGGCAAGCACTGAGATTTCACTCAAGGAGGCAGTGTAGAAACCAGGGTCTGAATTTGTTTCTGAAATAGACTCATGAAATGTAGGGATGTCAATGGGTCTGCATTTCTGTGCATCAGAATTACAGCTTTGCAAAGAGTTTCATGCAGCATCATCACTAGAATACAAAACAGACTGTTCAAAAAGAAAGGAAATTCCTTAGCCTTTTCCTGTTATTCTAAAAACCTAAAACATTTTCTTAATTTGACACAAAATGTGCCTTTTGATTTGAAACAGAAAAGTTGTGGACTCTTGTAAGGGATGCAAAACTGACAGCAACCTACAAGTACAAAAGTGTCTCATTTTGTTCCAGGAATAAAAGCTTCATGCTAATTTATTCCCCTTCTGTGCTTGGTGGGATGTGAATCTCTCTGCCTCCTGGGAGAGTGTTCACATCAGTAACCTTAGCAGTGTAGTAAGCTACCGCTAGGCTGGAAGTCAGGCTTGTGACAGGCGAATGAAGTGACACAGTGCCTCCTGCCTGCTGGGTGAATGTCCTCCCTTTTACACCTTATGTGAATCTTAAGAGGGTTCTCCTCTTGTTGGGGTTTCTTTTTGTTTTATCTTTAAAAATGCATATTCATTAGGTAGGACACAGAAGGACTGTGAGCAGGGCACTCACCAGGGAGATGGGGCAAATGGATTCTGATCATTTTCCAGTTACTTTTTATTCAGGTGACAAGGAACCGTGTCAAAATCAAATGTATTTACTGAATCTAAAATAAATAATAACCTTCTATAAATATCAGGGGTGTTGGAAAATAAACTAAGAATGAGAAGACTTAAAATCCTTGGGGTCTTTATTAGGGAATGAGCCCAACAGAATTTTTTTTAAGATAAAAAGATAATGACAACTTTGAAATATTCTGGGGAAAAATTGTGGGTGAATTATTGTCTTTTTTTTTCCTGGTGGTTAAATTAAACCAGAATGACTAGGTTCTAAGTTAGGTAGCTTCTAAGGCTAGTAATTGTCAGGAAGCGAATCTCACTGACAGGAAAGTTAGTCTAGCAACTTGCTCTGTGAAACATCTGCAGATCTCTGTCAGGTGTTGAGATTCCTCAAGCAAAGTACTCTACAAACACCAAAGGACTGAAGAGCACATTTATTGCCCAAAAAAGATGTGTGTTAGAATTAATTTTGTCCTTCCAGAGTAGAAAGAGCCCTTTCTGCTTCTGCAACAACCTGCAGGGGCCTCTTTGCAAAACAGGTCCTCGCCTGAAACACAGAAACCAGCAGAACCATTAGTTATTTTTCAGCTCTTTGTGTTTACACAAACTTTGTTGAGCTATGAAATTTCTCTGCTGTATACATTATTGTGGTAGAAATCACTGCCACTCTTACTTGCTTTTGTCTCTTAATTTAGCAAGAAGATTCTAAAACCACTTTTTTTTAATCCTTTTGAGTTCTCTAAACTCAAAACATATTGCACAGAGGTAGTGTAACAGTGTTTCTATTCACAATAGCTCATCTGTTAATTTTATATCTTTCCAGGTGTGTTAAGGATTCTACCTACTCTTCTTACTACTCACCACACAGCAATGTTGCTCGGTTTGCATTTAATGCTTTTTCGTTTCTCAACCGATACCCGTCAGTTTACCTGCAGTGTGAGCTGGTGGTGTGCAGGTACAAAGACTACTCTTCCCGCTGCTATCAGGGCTGTGTTAGTAAGTTCAAGAGGAATGCAGGTTCTTCCCAGGAAAAAGTGAATGTTGTTGTTGGACCTCTTCAACTTCGGGAAGCTCAGGCTGAGAACAGGAACACTGGTAAGTTTAAATAACTGAAAGAACATAAGACTCTGTATATTACTGTATGTTTGCATGCCAGCTCAGGCATGAAATCCAGCTCTGAAATATGTCTTTGCTGGTTTATTCGTAACTTTGCTAAAATTCTTACAGAGATTTTTTTTATTAATAATTTTTATGAAATTGTTTTATAATGTTTACAAGCTATTTCCTTTCTGTCATAGTTTAGACCCATTTGTTCTGCATATGTCAAATGGCAATTGATTCAGTTCTGTGCGAAGAGGGATGAGATGTAACTCATCTCTCTGCAGGATTTATATTAACTTTTCAAAGCTCTCTGTGCCTGATTGACATGTCTCTTACTTACTAGCAACCAACCTGTAGGTCCCCTCAGAAGTGTTGTTTCCCGGTGTCCTGTAGCTGTTGTTTCTACTGTTAGAAAACAGCATCTTATGGTCTTAGAGTGTAATCATTGCAAATGCAGTTTGGTTTCTGATCAGATCCATATTAAAATGTTTTAATTCAAGTTCTCTTTGCCTAATTACCTTTGAGATTAACTAGCTCAGGAAAACAAATGTAAGCCTCTATTTTCTCTTTTATGCACAGTGCTAGCCTCTGACATCCAGGCGAAAGGGGAGTCTCAGAGCCCAGCGCCTGCTGCCAGCTCCCCTGTTCCTCTGGCTGTGACCGCCGTGCTGCTGGCAGCTGCTGTTCTTACTGTGGGAGGATTTCTTTTGAAACGTAAACTGCAGGAACCCATCCCATACCAGATCATGTGAGAGGCAACCCAAAGCTTGCAGGTGTAAGGAAATTTTCACTAGCCATCTGCTTCATGATTTGGTTTTGCAGTCTGTGTAGAGTAGGTCTTGATTAGTCCACCATTCTGATCTTGTTTGAAGAATGTACTGTACTAAGGTAAAACCTGGTGTTACCATGAATTGAACTTATAAGGGAGCCTGGCTTTAAAATCCTCAAGTCCACATGCACCTGAGGTCTAAAGAAAGGTTGATTCTTCCATCCCAGCATCCAAATGAGCTACCAGATGGACAATGCTGGACATGCCAGAGAATCTCAGTTGTGCTCCTGATTGAGTGTTTGTCTGAGAAAACTGATCTAGGTGACTTGAGAAAGAAGAACTGGCTTATTTTGCCATTGCTGATATGAAGATAAACACCTGTGTGGCACCATGAGATACTCTGGAAAGTAGTCGAAGAAAAATATTCCTTTGTGTTAAAAATAAGCTGTAAAAGAAAATGCACAGGGGCTGCAGATAAGGAATTTCTCCCATACAGAGTTCCTTATTTTGAGGGGTATGGTTCTTCACAATTATGTTTCTCTGAGAAAATGTAGTTCGTTTATAAGATTTTGTATAGAGGACAAATATAATCAAATCTGTTATGTAAATGTGTAATTAAAAAGAGCAGGAAATAAAATAGTTTTTGAGCAATACTTCTTTTTGTGTACTTGCAAACCTACTGCCTATGTGTCTGAACTCCCAGCTTACGCATTATCAGGTTGGAGAATGCATTTTCTGACAAAGCGACTTTGCCAAGCAATGCTTGTGCTCTTGTTCTTACACATTTCTACACATGTATATGTGTGTGAAGGAGAGAACATACGTAAGTTGCCATAAGGAAGTGTGACCTGTCTCCTATCCCCACATGGAAACAAAATAAAAACAATAATAAAGGAAGAATCTCTTTGGAAGAAGCCACTTACTACAGATGGAAAGGTCACTGGCATTTGATTGAGAAATGCTCCTCTTCGGACTTTCCTGTTTTCTAGCCACCTGTGAAAGAGGAAAGTTGTTTGGGAAGAGTATAAGGTACTATGTGTGAAGTAAGCCAGAGACAAAGTAGTGACGTGTAAGGAAGATGAGCTGTGACATCCTGACCTGACGAGGAGGATGCGGGCAGCTCTGACAGGAATCATTGTTACAGCCTGCACCATTTCTTCCTGCAAGCTGCCTTTTGCTGGGGTCTCCAGGCAGGCCTCTCTTCACCTCTCCATGCTGTGGAGAAGGGACCATATAAGAAGGAACTGGCATGGCCCACAGAAAGCAGAAGTGAATTTTGTTGTCCACACATGAGGAACAAGGATTGAGGCAGGTCCTCCCCTCCTCTCTGCCTACAGCCATCTTTGAAAGGCAGAGCAATCCAGGAGGCTGACCTGCCTTTCATCTAGTCCTGTTGTGTGGACCAGAGATTGTCCAGGCTTGGAAAAATCTAGTGACCTGCTCAGCACAGTGAAGACTTTCCTGGACCTGGGCTTTCCTACCTCTCTAGAAGAGGACCTTCCTCTCTGCTCTTCCCAGACCTGCTGTTTCCTCTCCTGGCCCTGCTCCTGCTGTGGCCTTGCTGTTGCGGTGTTGCTACCCTACCCCACCATTTTTCAGGGCATAGATTGATGGCACTTTTTCTACTTCTAATCTCTGAATATTATTGTGATCAGACAAGCAGAAAGATCCTAGACCTAGGATGTTGGTGCTTCCAATCTGCAACATGCCTGCACTGTTCAGGCCTGAGCCTTCCCATACTATATCCTTGCCAAAAGTCCCAGATGGAGATATCCCAAGGTTGTATCAGAATGCAAGGTAGAAGTACCAAGTTCAGTGGTTTCCATATTAAATGCTGCTGTAGAAAACACCGCTAAACTGTTCAAGTAGTTGGTGTCCCAGAATCATCCTCCTTGTTTTCTGCCACCTTCCTTGATCCACAGTTGTTATAGAAATGCAGGATTCAAGAAAACTGGATTTGCTGATGAGGAAAGCGTCATTCTCTGAAGTGAATGGGGTCTCTGCCAAGAACCTTCCTTCCCACCTCCTGCCCCATCACATTCAGGAAAGCTTCTACTGGTAAATCCAGTGAATTTGACTCTCAGTGGTAGACAGTTCTCGTCCCTTTGCATCCTCACCATTAAACAAATGCGAATTGATTTGCAAGGACATGCTTCACAGGACACATGCAACAGAGCCCAAGAGGCCATCAGGCAACCCAGTAAATTAGAGTAAGCTGCCTCACTGCATCTCAATGCGTGGATTCAGACTATACAGACATGGACTATCAGACTTTGCCCACAAGTTTGTGAACACCCTCATTCCAGTTGTCGTGGTTTAACCCCAGCCGGCAGCTCAGCCCCACACAGCCTCTAGCTCACTTCCCCACGGTGGGGTGGGGGAGAGAATCAGAAGAGTAAAAGTGAGAAAACCCATGGGTTGAGATAAAGACAGTTTAACAGGGAAAGCAAAAGCTGCACACACAAGCAAAGCAAAACAAGGAATTCCTTCCCTCCTTCCCATGGGCAGGCGGGTGCTCAGCCATCCCCAGGAAAGCAGGGCTCCATCATGTGTAACGGTGACTTGGGAAGACAAATGCCATCACTCCGAACATCCCCCCCTTCCTTCTTCTTCACCCAGCTTATATACTGAGCATGACGTCATATGGTATGGAATGGCCCTTGGGCCAGTTGGGGTCAGCTGTCCTGGCTGTGCCCCCTCCCAGCTCCTTGTGCACCCAGCAGAGCAGGGGAAGCTGAAATATCCTTGACTAGGGTAAGCACTGCTCAGCAACAACTAAAACATCAGAGTGTGATCAACATTCTTCTCATGCTAAATCCAAAACACAGCACTATGCCAGCAACTAGGAAGAAAATTAACTGTATCCCAGCCAAAATGAGGACACCACTTTAGATACTGTCTTATAGTCACAGATGAATCTAATTATTCTTCTGTGTCTTTTCAATGGTTTTCATTTGGACCTCAAAAAGCCAGTATGTCTGCAGAAGTCTCCTAACAATGGTCAGTAGAAGATAAAGTGTTTTCAAAGCGCAGTGGAGCTTCTTTCACAGAGTAATGTGCTGAGAAACCCTTCAAGCTGCTAGAAGAAGTCCTAGAGAGCAAAAATGTATTACTGCAACAGACTTACCTAGCCAATGAGAAGGATGAAAACATGTGCTGTATCGTGTTTGCATTAAATAATTAACTCAAATTAATCAGAACATAACATCTACCTGGGACTCCTCATGGATGACAAGTTGACCATGAGCCAGTGGTGTGCCCTTGTTGGGGCAACGGTATCCTGGGGTGCATTAAGAGGAGCATGGCCAGCAGGGCGAGGGAGGTTCTCCTCCCCTTCTACTCTGCCCGGTAAGACCCCACCTGGAGTACTGTGTCCAGGTCTGGGCTGCCCAGTTCAAGAAGGATGAGGAACTCCTAGAGAGAGTTCAGAGGAGGGCTACAAAGATGAGGAGGGGACTGGAGCATCTCTCCTATGAGGAAAGGCTGAGGGAGCTGGGCTTGTTTAGCCTGAAGAAGAGAAGGCTGAGATGGGATCTCATCAATACTTACAAATATCTTAAGGGTGGATGCCACGAGGACAAAGGTCTTCTCTGTGGTGCCCAGCGCCAGGACAAGGGGCAATGAGCACAAAGTGAAGCACTGAATGTGAGGAAGAACTTCTTGACTTTGAGGGTGACAGAGCCCTGGAACAGGCTGCCCAGGGGGGTTGTGGAGTCTCCATCTTTGGAGATATTCAAACCCCTCCTGGACAATGTCCTGTGCAACCTGCTCTGGGTGAGCCTGCTTTAGCAGAGGGGTTGGACCGGATGATCTCCAACGGTCCCTTCCAACCCCCGTCACTCTGTGATTCTGTGACTCTGTGATTCTGTGATTTATCTATTCCTACTCTTCAGAGGTTGTGTGATAATCAAGATCTCTAGAAATATCTAGATCTTTGAAGTTTGTAGTAAAGAATTGATTAGTGAAGAATGTAGTGAGGAATATAGTAAAGAATTAATTAATCAGCGTTGTTCATTCGCCTGGACAGTTTGACGTGGCTTTTTTTTTTCACTTGAACCATCTGGGAATCAATTTTATGTTGCCCCACCTCTCCACCCTTTTCAGTTATTACAAGAGTTTGGAGAAGAATTGCAATCCATCACTTACTCTTGCTTCACTGACTGCAGTGCTTGATTGGTCAGTCAAATATGCTGGATTTTTTCTGCTTCTTGCCAAGGTGTCAAAATCAGAAGAATATGAATAGTGAATACGAGCTGTACATTTCCTCATTCATGTGCAAATGTGGTTGTTTGTATAAAGAAGAAATATATTTACCCTTCTCAATGTTCGCTTTCAAGGCTTCCAATGTTATCTTTGGCCTCTTGTGTATTGCACTTCCTTCTTCCATCCCAATAATGCTGGCCTTTGTGGAATGACCTTCTAAGTCTTTTTTCCCTCAGGGTCTTGGACTTTAGTCTTCATCCTTGATGACTGCCCCTGAAGGCAATACATTTTTATATGGCAACAACTGTGCCACAGATTTTAACTCCTGATACTGCCAGCCAAGCCATGATCACTGTAATGGTAGGAATCAGATGAAGAGCGATATTCTGGCTCTTCAGCGTTAGGATGGCCATCAGCATTTTTCTCATTAAATGATTAAAACACAGAAACAGAGGAAAGTAACCACTCTGGCAAGAGAGATGAATGAGAATTAAGCATTATTTCATGTTGTGGAAAAGCTTTTGATTCATTCTTCAAAGTAAGACACAACCGTAATTGTCACTATGCAAAATTAAACAAGAAATATATTAAGAAAGATTCTTAATAGAAATCTGAACTTTTTTCTCCATTTGATGGGTCAAACGAAATTTTAGAATAAAGTTAAGTTGCAGCCTATGTAATTTACTTAACTATGCATAAAATCCACTGATTTTTCTGCACAATTTTCACAAAAAGGTACCAGCTGACCCTGATTCTCTTGACACTTTCTTGCAACCTAAC